TATGGATGCACTAATTTTACAGACGAACTTTGGGTGAATGTCTAAGCAGCAAAATGTCTCTGTCAATTCCAGAGTTTTGGAGGTTGCTCACAATGCACCTCCCGTTTACTTAGGTAGTATTATATCCTTCTGGAGTCTTTGAAGAGTTGAAGACTGATAGTTATAGTTTTCCTTAGTTGTTATAAAAGATAAATTAGACATGAAACTTTAGACTCACAAAGAAATATTGTAACTGTAATTCTTGTTTGATACTTGTTTTGTTATGTTAAAGTTAAAACCTTCCTTTTATTTAGACAGAAAGGGGAGATGATGTGGGATGTCCTTTTGTATGTATTGCTTTTATTGGTTAATGAATAAAGCTGCTTTGGCCTATGTTAGGGCAGAATAAAGCCGGGCTGCTAGAGATGTAGAGAGAGAATAGGCAGAGTCAGAGAAATGCTATGTAGCCTCCAAAGGAGACAGACACCAGATGCTTACCAGTAAGCCACAACCTCGTGCTGACACACAGATTAATAGAAATGGGTTAATTTAAGATGTAAGAATTAGTTAATAAGAAGCCTGAGCTAATAAGCCAAGTAGTGTTGTAATTAATATAGTTTCTTTGTGATTATTTGGATCTAGGCAGCTGGGAAAACAAAGCAGATTCTCCGTTTACACAAAGTACATTGTGAACAAAGTCTGAGAACCTCTGTATCACTTAGTCCTGGTGGAGGCTGAGTCTCAAAAATAGGAAACAAGGAACTTTCTAAGGTGCACAGCCAAGGCAACATATTCCTCAGATACCTGCTTCTTGCTCTGTTTACCAAGTTCCCAGTTTTCTCTAGGCTTACATAGCATTTATCTGGACTCTACTTTCTTTTTTAAAGATTTATTTTATTTTTATTTGTGTGTGTGCATGTGCATGTGTGTATATACATGCATGTGCACAAAGGTTTGAGGTGGAGGCCAGAAGCCATCTTTGGACATGACCCCCCCCCCCATTTGGAGTTATAGGCCATTATGAGCTGACCAATATAGGTGCTGGGAATTCAACTCTGATCCTCTGCAAAAGATGCAAGCTCTCTTTGCCACTGAGCCATCTCCCCAGCTCCTAAGATTTTAGTTTCCACTGACTTTAGGTTGTCCCCTTTCCCAAGATGCTATAGTACTTTCTAAATATCTCTACTATTATTCACTTATACTTCTATCTTCTCAGTTGACCTGGATGTCTCTTTCAGGCGTAAACCATTGTGTTTATCCCTTAATACCTTAAAGTCTTTAGCAGGGAGTAAGTAGGTACTCCATGCTTGTTGAATGGATAAAAAGCAAATACATCACTTATAGAGGCAGAAGCAAGCAGATTCCTGTGAGTTTGAGGTCAGCCTGGTGTAGAGAGTGAGTTCCAGGACAGCCAGAGATACACTGAGAAACCTTGTCTGAAAAAAAAAAAAAAAAAAAAAAAAAAAAGTAAGTACATAAAACATGATGCCTTCCTCTCAATAAGAGGGAAAAGGTTGTGAATGACCTAAAGCAGTGTTGGTTAATGTGTATTTCACACACAATGCATCAGGACAAGGGCTGATCTCGCCTGAGGAAGAGTTAAGAGACTGCTCCCTCTCTTACCCATTCCATCTGCTCCCACCATTCCTAACAGTTCTGTCACATGCCAATCGCCTGGGTTATACTGCCATGGAAATAATTCATTTTTGCTTACCTAAAACATGAATCTATCCTTGAAGCTTTCTTGGAAATCAACATAAATAGATACTATTATCTTCATTTCCAAGTTATATGATAGACATTAAATGGCAGAATCGAGGTCATGCAAGTAACCATAGTGAATTTAAAATTAAAACAGAAAATCAAAAGATTATCATTTATTTCCATGATTTTTAACAAATAGAAAATGAATATTATCATTGTTATACTGAAACAGATTGGCTGCAATACTGATTCAGAGCTCTCAAGGCAGAGGTCACTGAAGAGCAGTTCTCTTTTATGAATCATGTTGTGGAATATTAGTTTAAGATGTGTTACATTCGTGTATCCTGTGGACTATTTGTTTAATGATGTAAAGATGCATTGCATTATTTTATGTTGCATTTACTTAACTCTGTGAAGCTGTGTTACTTTGCCTTTCTAAGACACCTGATTGGTGTAATAAAGAGTTGAATGGCCAATAGCAGGACAGGAGAGTGATAGACAGGGTTGGCAGGCAGAGAAAATAAATAGGAGTTGAAATCTAGGCTCTGAAAGAGGAAAGGGGAGGGAAGAAAGGAGGAGAGGGAGATGCCAGGGGGCAGTCACCCAGCCACACTACCAGCCATGGAGTAAGAAGGGAAGAAAAATAAATGAAGAAAGGTAAAAAGTGTAGAGGCAAAATGTAGTTAAAGAGAAACCAGATAATTTAAGTTAGAAAATATGGTTAGAAACAAGCCCAGCTAAGGCTTGGCATTCACACATAAGAATAAGCCTCTGTGCATTTATGTGGGAACTGGGTGGCAGACCCCCAAAGTCAAAAAAAATCCAACTACAGAACCAACTTGTTCCAGGTACACTGGTCTCTTCAAGGGACTTAGCTGATGTTTAAAAGTAAAAGGAAGGAAGGGAGGGAGGGAATGAGGAAGGGAGAGAAGGAAGGAAGCAGGATGGGGTGGGACAGGCCTGAAATGGTAACAGTCTGAAGACTATAGAAGTAGGATCAGGAGCTAGAGGCAAGCCTGGGCTACACAATGAACTAAAGGCCAGCCTTTACTATGTAACAAGACCCCAATTCAAAAATAATAATAGTTAATTACCTCATTTTTTAAAGGATACTTAATTTGCCCTTCAGAATATAAGTGAGAGCTTGGTGCACATGCAAGGTCTTGGTTTAGTTCCCAGCACGGAAAAACAAAATTGTGTGTGTGTGTGTGTGTGTGTGTGTGTGTGTGTGTGTGTGTAGTGTAATAGCAAGTAAATGAAATATGCTAAAGAGAAGTTATTTTGTTAATTCACAGCTATTTGCAGCTCCATCTCAGTGCGAATTGGTTGGTGGAAAAGATCATAGAGCAATAGATCAGCCTTACTTATTTACCTGTATGTGTTATGTGTGTGTATTAAGAGAAGGTCTTACTTTGTAGCCCAGGCTTTCCTGGAACGTGTGTGTGTGTGTGTGTGTGTCTGTGTGCATGCGTGTGTGTGTGTGTGTGTGTTGAGACAAGGTCTTACTTTGTAGCCCAGGCTTTCCTGGAAC